TTTATGTTAGTTTAACGGGGAATTTGAAGTTTAAAAGATAATTGAGATCAGGAATGTTTGAGACATTAATTAGGATGTTAGTTGGAGTAAATTAGTCAGGTTCGTGATGAGATGATAATTAGATGATTTTGGGATGATAGTGGGATGGTAATATTAGTGATCAAATTAATGATTAGATAGCATGATGATGATGATGATTTGTTGATTGACACATCGATGACAATTACTATGACAATGACAATAACGATCCAACACCATCCTCCTATCCCCTACTTACCTCGATGCTGAACATGAAGATGATGGTGATGATGAAGCTGTTGATGATGGCGACGGTGATGACTAATCTCGTTACTGATGATAATGATTTCGGTGATAATGATAATGATGACAATACTGCTGCTGCTGAAGCTGATGATACGACGATGATATGGTCCTGTAGATGCAATGTAGATGTAGCAGAAAGAATGACGATCAGCCGGCTGCCATCATTCGAGTAGAAGCCTCCCCCCTTGTAATGATCCCTTGACGGCACTTGGATTCTCTCCTTGAAGCCCTCCCACTCACTATCTCTTGACAATCCTCCTTCCACTCCAYGGGACACACTGTACTCTTCTTCTTCTCGCGCCGAGCCGACCTCCTCCACCAAAAATTGCAAGATGAAGAGTACTAGTGATTACTCCTAGAGTAATGCCCAAATAAGCAATACCCTCCTTCATCCTGCATGCTATCCTGTAGCATCACTCGTTTGAAGCGCGAAGTAGAGAGATGGCAGTAGACCTGCTTTCAAAAGTCAGGAAACAGCAGGTGTTGAGGTTGAAGTCTTAAATGCCATTCCATCCCCCCGTCGTCCTCATCGCCCAACACGCTCGAATTCCATGGCGCGCCCTCGAACTTCGATATCTCATGATCCGCTGAACCGTTTGGTCTGAAATTTGGACCACCTCAGCTCCTCAGCGTAGACCACCAGTGGTCCAATTTTCATCTCAGCTGCGTGCAGTTATCCGGCGCGCGCGGCTCCTCTTCGTGGTGGTGACCTTGATTGATGATTGATGCTGCTGAGGCGCAGCGCTCCCGGTTGCGCTGCGCCCACGCCGGCTTTACACTGCGGAGGCCAGCGTCGTTCTGACGTTATCTGTTCGAATCGAGTAGCGGGCCTACCATCGATACCGTCGTCACCCCATGTTCATTCAATTCTGCAAATCGCATGGTGAGGGAAAATTCAATCTGGTGTTGGCGATTCCTGTCAGGTTCCTCTGGCTGCATTAACTCCATTGACTCTAGCATGCGTTCCGGAGAGAGATCATCTCCAGTCGGGGCTCCACCAAATGATCAGAAGCTGGATGATTGTTAGTCGGAGCGGAGGAGCTGTCACGGCTACGTGGGCGAGAAGTGGGTGGGGCCTGGTGGGCCAGACGCAAGAAGTGGAGGCTGATTACCCACACTTGTGGCCAGGGTGGCTGCTAGTCGTACAAATGCTGCACAAAGCAGTTGCACCTCATGTTTTGTGCACACGCAGGCCTGCAGCACTGTAAAAACCATTGCCACACTGCAGGCAACGGACTCGGTATGTACGATTCCTGGCTAGCATGTATTGGGAGCAACGACGTCGTTTTGTGCGGTTGTGAGAGTGGCATTGAAGCATACCTCTAACCCCCGATGGGAGCGCGATGGTCATACCACTCAATTGCAATCAAGGCCACTGTCTAGGGGGCGGTGGTGCCGTCGAATAGGCATCTATGACAGTTGATCTGACCATGAATGCTTCTGTAGACAAGGCCTCGATGACATCCTATGGAGGAGGAGGAGGAAGGGAAGGAAGAAGGGGAGGTTGTTGATAGAGGGGATGATGTAATAGGAGATGTAGATGGAGGATCTGGCGGTGATGGTGGTGGCGCTGGTGGTGAGGATTGTGGTGGTCGTGGTGGTGGTCGTGGTGGTGGTACTGGGGGTACAGTTTCAGCAGCAGCCGCATTGGCAGGATGCACGCCATCATCCCCTGCAACCACTTGGACAATATTTACATCGTCTGTTACACTTGGCCTGGTTTCCAGGTGAGTTCCAGTATCCACATTAGCAGCTGTCAGCCCATTAGGCATAACAGGGGAGCGGTATAAATATCCACATCATCAGCTGTCAGTCCATTGGCCATAACAGGGGAGCGTGGGCCTCCTGCGTTTGGCCGTGTGGAGGGTTGATGCTGCCTGTATTCAGAATTTGTGTTCGTGAGTGGGTGGGGGCGCACTGCGTGTGGCTGCATGGAGGGCTGATACTATCTGTGCGCAAACTCGATATTCTGCAATGGGTGAGCAATTGACTAGCGCACCATGCGGCGAAACCAGTTCGGAAGTTGGCTGACATGATTGGGAAGCTGACGCTGCCGGCCACACTCATATTTAGCCCAACCTCTGGCCAGGGCATTGGGAGGATGGCCCCTAGCAAGCATATGTCGTGTCAGGGAGGTCACTGCGGTATCATTGCCAATATGCTTGAACCCCATCAGCTGTCCCATGAGCACACTTGCAGGCTGATGAGCTGGGGGATTGGAGGAGGTACTGAGATAAAGTATGATAGGGAATGTCCAAGCCTCAGCCTTCTTAAACAACGAATGTGAAGTGAGTAGTCCAACCGAACCAAAATTCTTGCGCCAAGGAAGAGACATGACCCATCTTGCTCAGTAGTGTCTTTTCACTCGAGACCATATCGACCAGGAGGGAGACGACTTCTGGGAGAGGATATTATCATCAATGAACCAATACGTGAATGTATATACTTACTCTGTGTGCAGATCTTGCTCACAAAGTTCATCGATGAACTGTGCTTCGTCCCAATAAAGCGCCGTTTAAGCACGAGATTGGCAATTTCTGGTCCGGCGTTAGCGCCGTAGGGATAGGGTGCCATCTGGTGCATAAAGGTCAAGTGTTGGAGACCACAAACTGACGATGTCATTCTTTTTTTTTTTTTTTTAGGGTAACCGAGTCATGTGAAGTAAGCCACTCTCCAGAATGAGAACATCCAACAGTCATGTATATTTACACTGACCCTCTGCACTGTGGAATCAACACCAGCGCATATTTATCATGTGCTTCACAAACGGCATTCAGGACCTTGTTAAAAATTATGTCGTGTGTCTGGTTAGTGTACATTGTTTTGAAATCCATTGCGTGTGGCACAGAACCTCCAAGGGAGTGCACGTTCTGCTTGATATCCAAAATGACTTCCTCGGCACTTTGCACGATCCAGGAATGTCGTGCACCACTTTCTTGATGAAGCTCATTCATTGTCCATACTGCACAGACACCTGATCACGCCTCGGAGAGCATAGCTGAGTGAGCAAGAGGTCATTGCCGTATGCAGATCCGAAACTAAAGGTAAGTGAGTAGTTGAGCCGGGTGCAGATTGGGAAAGGCAGCTCTAAGACTTGGTCAAAAAAAGAGCAGGTGGTGATTTGTGTGCTTTGAGTACGAAGTAGAGATAAGGCAGGGTGTCTGTATGCCGATAGCAGCAGAGTTGGTTGAAAAGTGCATGTCAGTCAAGGATGCCGGCCACAGACTCCGATGTATGACTTGTACGTAGGACTATCACGATGCTGCGATTACTTGTATGCACACCGGCGTTTGCAGCGGATCGCCAGGTTTAGCGAGGTTTTGTCAACCGGTACTAGACGAATTTGCCATTACTTCTGCTGAAGAGATGTGCTGGCAGCTCGCAACGCAGCCTGAGAGGATGCCTGGTAGTGGTATTGCCTTGAAAAATTATGCTGGCACCTTGAAAGAATTGCTGTATGCCAACCGTGCATTTAAGAGCGACTGTCAGCAATTGTCAGCAATTGTTGTTGCGTGCTGATCTCATGGTTGCTATGAACTTGGCAGTATACTCATCTAGACCGAGTTTCAGTGCTTTTATCACAATATCGGCATTGAGGCAGTGCTTCAAACCTTTTAAGAAGAGGGCCCACAAATGTGCCTTGTATAACAGTGTAGTCCACTACATGACCGTCAAGAATATCACCCCAAGGGCAATTGCTGGATCCTGGAGGCAGCATATTGCTTGTTATATTGCGTGCCACTTCTGTAAATGCATCGTCTTATTACAGACAGCTGAAAGATGCCCCATAATTGTGTGGTCTAAGCAATCTGATGCATATGCAGTATTATGCACAAACTTGATAAAATTTAAGAATGGAGCCCTATCATGTGCAGGGCTGGAATACGGTTGGGGTGAGTATTGCAAAATGGAAACCGCGGATCTTGCACTCCGGTTGATGCTATCTGAATCCTAATGGCTCCATCAATCCTGGATTGTTCAAGCGTGCAGCTACCCCTCATGAAGGTTCTGGGTTTGGCGCCTGACCACCCTTTACCCTTGGGGCTTCAACCGCGTTTTCCCACAAGAACGATCACCGCGTGTCAGGCGATCTCATCGCTCAAACAGGTGGATTCGGTCGCGAGGCTGTCCAAATCCTCCCTACACTCCCATTGCGCAATGTGAAGCATCCAACTCACACAACACAAATCCATAGTGATAGACCCTTCACAATTGACACTACCCCAGGTCCATTCTGTGCTGTGCGCTCGGCCCTTAATCACATGCTTACACAACAAGCAGCCAATTCAGAATGGCAATCCATGAGCTTACACCAGGTGTGTCTGGGGGGTGGGGAGGGGAGGGAGGGGGGAAGGGTGGGGCACACACATAGGCACAAAGAGATAATTTCGAGAACACAGAGATGCTCACACACACACACACACACACACACACACGGGGAGGGGGGGGGCACGCCCATAGACACAAAGAGACAGTTTGAGGACACACACACACACACACAGAGAGAGAGNAGAGAGAGAGAGAGAGAGAGAGAGAGAGAGAGAGAGAGAGAGAGAGAGAGAGAGAGAGAGAGAGAGAGAGAGAGAGAGAGAGAGAGAGAAAAACGGCGCCCAGAGAGACGGCGCCCACCCAAAACTCCATCGTTCTTATGCTCAGCATAGCAAGCTTAGACTAACCTGCACATCTCCATTTTATTATTCAGTTACCAAAAAAAAAAAAAAAAAGTCCAGACTCGAATTATTCAACAATGCTCATAACCTGATGATGAGAAGAGTCGATTAACGAACCCACTGACAAGAATCGATTAACGAAACCACTGACCACAGAGTCGATTAACGAAACCAGCAATGTCAGCAGGGGTTGGGCTTTCCTTCCCACAGTGCAGGCGCATTACTTCAAATGATGAACTGGTAAATTGAAGAGCTGATGACAGAGAAAATGCATCAGACCACGGACGAGAGCACATTGTGGACAGGAGCGCTTAACCAGACGTTCACTGGAGGAGAGCAGGCAGCATCCGTGCCGCCCACCTCATGGAATATCCAGAAAATCCGTCTACGGAAATGCCGTCTTCCTTCAATAAATTTTGACAACCAGTGATGGCAAAACAATGGGAACCTCCGAAAATGATGACAATTCAGCCATCTATTCTATATATATCCTCTTCTTCCTCCTCCACTAGCATTATTGACAGCAAAATTGAACAAACGCAAGCTTCGAAAGACTAGCTGCTACTAACTAGTAAATAAAAAGAATCTGGAAACCCAAAAGGGCCCCAATAACCAAACGAACACTAAATCTGTGTTCTTGCTGCAAAAGCCGACAAAGAAACGCTGTTAAAAAGAAAACAATAGAACGAATTAATTCGAAGATGCTATAAACTGGATCTACATGACAGCGCACACGCACTTCGTAGCTGATTCTAACAAGAGCAGTGACATTGGACTGCCTGAAGGAACTGGCACAAACCAGACGCATTCTGGAAAGCCCACTACAGCTGAGCCCTGGCGTCACTGACAAGGGAGTTCTCTCATTGCCCTCCCTCCCCCCTTCTATTCATGTCCTCCTCCTCTCCCTCCCTCCCTTTCACTACCTACACTTCTCTTCCCATATTCTGTGCTGATGTTCCAGATATGATGTGCACTCTTTCAAGAGAAGAGAAGCCTCTCTTCTCAAGTACAGACAAGAGATCTAGATTTCAAGAGCTCTCCCTCCCCTCTGTTGCACGACTCGTTTCCATTCAAGACCAATTTTGAGCTCTTGTTCTTCGACAGTACCGTCACCAGCGACTTCTCGTCGTTAAAGATGTGCTGCGGCAACGGTTCTCTCCTCGTTACGCCTTTCCTCTCCTGATGACGTTTACTTTCATTATTGCTCTGAACGTGCTCGTCTTCTCCCATTCCCACTACCGCCACAAGTGACTTGTCGCCTTCCTGGACGAGCTGTCCATCAGGTTCTCTCTTCATCTCTGATTGCCTCTCTGATTGGCGCTCACCTTTGCTGGCATTGCTCTCAACATGCTCTTCTTCTTCTTTGGGGGAGGTGGTGGCTGGGCAATAAACAAAACAGGGACATCAGACACACAGGAAGGGATGGACAGTCAGAACAGCAAACATACTCATGATACACACCCGCAGATGTTCCGCTGAGGGGCATAAACTCAGCTTCGGGTCATTTCAGATTCGATAAAAAATGTCGCTCCAGATTCTAATCAAGACGTGGATTTGAGTTAAAAAGAAAGTTGAGGACTTGAGTAGAAATTGCCCTTGGAGAGGAAGCACATTAGACTCATGATTAGAGTATGCCAAGAACACAACTCTAACATCATTAACCGAACAAAAAAAAAAAACAAAAAAAAGCACTGATACACAAATGACTACACACCTCAGATCGCAACCATCAACATACAAGCACTGATATTTTCACCAAGTCCGCTTCAAAGTTCAACATACAATCAGATGAGAGGGCAGACTTCCCCCTTAAAAATCATCAATCACTTCGTCGACTGCAGCATGTTTTGCTCGCTACGGAACCTTGGTAGTTTACGGGATAAATTCACTGATGCTACAAAAGGAAGAAAGCTAGGTATTTAGCTCAGCAACTAACACGATCCATTACATTTTTAATTTTTTTTTTTGTAATTTACATTACACAAGAATCTTTGCTTCACCAAGGACCACCAACCTATGTGCTGGATGGGAATTGTGGGTATGCCTCCCATAACATTCACTCTGTTTGGCACTCGTTTTGCCACGTGCCGATGAAGCAGAACCAGGGCTGAAATCAATGCTTCAGAATCAGCCACAGGATGGAGGATCAACCCACCCACACGAGATAACCCAGGTCACTGCCAACTGGAGTGCTGCACAATACACCCTGGCTGGCCTTTGCTAGGCACGAGAATGCCTACATTATCCCCCAACTTTCCATCACTTGCAATCCACTTTGCATTGGTTCGTGCACAGATTCACGTGAAATCATTCCCAGATTCAGGGAGCTTTGTCTTCTCCACGTCTCCGCTCTACAGCACCTAAAGCGCTTTTTCTGAGAGACCAGAGCCCACTGAAGACAACAAATATTTTCCTTCCCAAAATGGAAAGCCATGGCACCACGAATACACTAAACCAAAGCCGTGGTCAGGCGCAGTCATGATGCTCTATGATAGGGGTTTGGAGTTGGGAATTGCGGGGGGGGGGGGGGGGGAAAGGACATACTACTTCGTACACAGGCTCAACCGGGCACCAGAATGGACCTCTCATGGGTAGAAAAGAGTATCCACAGGTTTTAAGTTGCCCTTGCCTGACGTTCTTCCATGTGATGTCCTTCTAGCCCTCAAGCAATCTTACAAGGATCTCGAATCCAGATCATATTGCAACATCTGACACACAGCCATAGCCTGAAGCAGCTTAAGCTAAAACTAGATTATTATTGAAAGATCTAAGCAATGCCACAGTTGCTGTGCTATAAACCTGAGCGCTCGAATCCTGGGAGGTCGCCTGGGTGGCCTTCCTGGCGGCCCGTCTGGGCGCCCCCCCAGGACAGGCCACAGGTGGGCCTGCATGATTTTTCAGTTTGAAACCATCTTCCCAGGTCTCCTGCGAGTAAAGGGATGCTCAAAAAAATGTTCAGGCCAACTTGTAACCAGTAGGCCCTGAAAACGCAGCCCAATCTGGGGCCTCTGGGCCATTGATCTTGAAAGATTAGTGGCCGTGGATTTCCCCCTAGCATCCCTTGCTGCCTGTCCCTGCCATTCGGTGCTGCACTTCATCATCGTGGATGTTGCCTCCTCATGCCTGGCCCCTCTGCGTCAGCATCGCCCACTTCTGTCCATAAGTGTGAGAGAGAGGCATGTCCTCTTTGTGTCTCCTCCACCTTCCTCGTATTTCCTCTTCGTCCCCCCTTCGGGCCCCTCGACCACCTTCCTCTTCCTTCCTCCTCCCTCCTCCTCCATCCTCGTCGGTCCCTCCATGTCACCATCACCCACTGACTGTCAGTAAGTGGGCGAGAGAGAGGTCCATCCTCCTTGTCTCTCCTCCTCCACCTTCCTCATCCTTCCAAGTCATCTCCCCTTTTCCACCTTCATCGTCCTTCCTTCTCCTTCCTCCTCCTCCCTCTTCCGGCTTCATGCCACGCGGACTACCAGACACATGGCACATGAGGTTTTTTTTTTTCTTGTCTATATCTCGTCGTCTCCCTTCCTCCTCCTGGCCCCTCCCTCCTCCTCATCCATCCTCCCTCCTCCTCCTCCTGGCCCCTCCCTCCTCCTCCTCCTCCTCCTCATCCTCCATCCTCCCTCCTCCTCCTGGCCCCTCCCTCCTCCTCCTCCGTCCTCCCTCTTCTTCCTCCTTCCTCCTCTTCCCTCATCCTTCCTCCTCCTTCCCCCCTCCTTCCCCCTCCATCCTGGCCTCCCCTCCTCCTCCCTTCTCCTCTCTTTCTTCCTCTCCCCTCCATCCTGCTAGTCTCCCCTCGTCATTCCTCCCTCCTTTTCCTCCTTCCACCGCCTAGCACAAGCACACTGTCATGTGATTTTTTCTTAATCTTACCTCCCCTTTCCTCCTCGTCTCCCCTCGTCCTTCCTCCCTCCCTCCTGCCGCGTGGCACAGCAGCAGCTGCTCGACACGTTTCTTTTTTGATCTTGTCGACCTCTCCTCCTCCCTCTTTGTCATACCTCCCCATTCCTCCCTAACCTCCTCCTCCTCCTCCTCATCCCCCTCCTTGACGTCCTCGTCTCCCCTCATCCCCCCCCACCCCCCCCCCCCCCCCCCCCCCCCCCCCCCCCCCCCCCCCCCCCCCCCCCCCCACCCCCCCCACCCAAACAAAAGCGAATCCTCAATCTTGGCAGGGTTAAACCACTTCCAAAACTCTCTCTTTTTACTTCTTAAACCATTACCTAGGACGGTCAGCACAGAAAACAATACTAGCTGCAGTAGCAGCAGCGAGAAACAGCAGAAGTGCTAGCAGCAGCAGCAGTAGTCAGAATGGTAGTACCATTTACAGTTGCTGTTGTTGTTGTTGTTGTTGTTGTTCTTCTTCTTCTTCTTCTTCTTCTTCTTCTTCTTGTATTCTACCATTATTCAAGAAATGCAGGTTGAATCCCAAATAACGGCACCACTTGCCCAGTAAAAAGCCTCCTACACACTACAACAACCCTGCCCGCTCTTTCGTGCAAGGATGTAAAAGCCTATCCTAGTTTCAGTCCTGGTTGCACTAGCTAAGATCTTATGACAAATTGATAAGACAGCCTCTCGCTACTTACGGGATAGTCACATCACTGGGGTGTGAGCTCGAGAGGGACGTGTGGGGCATTTGCTTGCTCATTTGGCAACTTAGTATACATACACCTGCTGCCTACTCAAGCCTACCACCTTGAGCCTCAATGGAACTGCAACTAGAACCAAATGCGATTGACCCCTTAGAATTTATGCTAAGGCCGCCGTTCAAGTGTTTACCTTTCACTTGTTAGATTTTGCATAAAAATGGCACACTCCCAGACACTGCGACCAACCACTTTGATATTTTTCAGGGTTACACGGAGATTAGCATGTCCTTTAATATGGTCGTTCCTCACATGTATGTTTGGAGCTACCATGTTTGCTACAGTGTGCTTATGCTAGTTTGTTGAAGCTTTATATGCTTCCGACTTCGGGAGGCAGGCCTGCCCGTGGACAGGTACGGTACAAAACCAATGCAAGGGAGGCAAGAGTCCCAGTGCCACAAGAACAAATGCGTGCTAAAAGCAAGTGTGGCAAGCAAACAACGAACGTGTGGCAAGCAATGAAGGAGCAAACTGCCTTGCCTCACACAAATGCTGCACGCATGCATCTCTCAAACTTGATAAATGTCTGAGAGTCAAAATGCACACATCATCCTGGAAACAGGGGAGTCAACAATTTTAACGAAGTTGATCGTAACACACTCAAAAGATGTCCGCTCGCAACAGGAGCGCCACAGGACAACTCAATGGACATATACCACAGATGGATGAAAGCTATGCGTGGTAAACTTAATAATGCAACAGGAAGTAATAGAAACCTGGTGTTTGCACGAATGCAGCACACACAAATTCGAAGAACTTTGGCAGACAAAATAGCTGCAGCAATGCAAATAGGTAAATAGCAAGCAAAGAAACATGGCAAATACTGGTCATACCAATATACGCAAATATAACAAAGCAGAGACACATGACAAACACTGGCCGCGCAATTTAATAAAGGTGGTGTGTTAGTGAGAGAGCAGCTGTTACGTTGCCCTCAGTGGTGACCTGAGAGGAAATAAAAACAAAAGGAGAAGAGTAATGTGAAGGGCAATCTCAATACCATTATGGGGTTGCAGAACAGAGCGCGAGCATGCGTGCTCAGGATACAAGGCTGGAGAGACCACAGGCATCCTCAACGCTGCAAACACTGAAGGTACCGTCATGCTTTGGATATGAGGCCTATTATCAGCCTGCACAACAGGGCCACACGGCCACAGGCACTCTCCGTCAATAGCGGAAAGAAGGTCCATAAACACGCTCTGGGTGTCAGGACGCAACCAATCTATAGGAACAGACTTGTATGTATACACACAGTCCAACCGACAATGGAAAGGAACTGGGGTTATTCTCGTGTACTTGCATTAAGAATTACCTTAGTGAAAATAAAGCAGATAGGGTTCTGAGGAGAAAAAGAAACACTTCCTTTCCCCAGAGATTCTGAAAATATGCGTTACAGAAGGTCATAGGTTCGAATCCTGTCACCTTAAATTTTAAGATTTCCTCAATTCTGATTGTACGTGCAGCGCCAACTATGACTGTCCTAAATCTGAAACGATTTCAGGTTCAAAATTCAAATCAAATATGTTACGTACTTAACTTGAAGGATTCATGCAAACTTCGGTGGTTCCTATTGCTATCACAACGGGCTTCGTGGCCAGTCCTCCCCTGTAGACGAGAGGGCAAGGTAGGGGCAGACTGGCACATATGTGGGGGAGGTACAGCAAGAGGCAGGTGGCGTACCTCCTCCCCTTGCCACTTCTGATGCTCCTCCCTCACCCCCTTGCTCCCCACCTTGACCAGTCATGGCCCTCTTCTTTCGTTTTCCTCGTCCTCCCTGACTGGGCCTCGCATGATTCTCGTTACCATTCTCAACCTCCTTTTCCTGCCCCCGCACCTTGTATTTCACTGCCATATTTGCTAGCTCTCTCCACTTTGTCCTCCTACCGCTCGTCCTGACACATCCCTATAAGGAAGAAGAAGGACGAGCAGGAGCCCGGAGGCAGAGGAGGGTGACGAGAAGGGGGAGAAAAAGAAACAGAACTTCCAGCTGCAAGGAATATGAGCGAGAGCGATATACAGAAAACCAAGTTGCAAAATCACGCAGAAGTCCAGATAGTCATGTAACAAGCAGAGAGCTCAAATGCACCAGGATTCCATTCAAATAAGAGCAATACAATGAACTCGTGAGCCAATGTTCAAGCCCTCAGGCCACACCAACGCAGTATTCAATATCGCTCCTCTCTGTCTGGCGCCCAGCGCCCAGCCTAGTCTACTTGTCCTATCTATCCTACCTACGTTCATGCAACAGGCTCACTTCAACTTTGATGTACATGCCGTCAACACCCATGCCGACCTCCCACATACACCAGGTACGTATCCTCGCCTCCCCTCATCACCCCCTGACCACTTCAGCGCCTCCTCCCGAAGACCCCCTGTCGCCATCTCTGCCTTGTGCCCTGCAGCCTGGCTATGGCCGCTAGCGCCCCACTACCCTGCAACGCCTTCACCTCGCAGCGCCCACGCGCGCGCCAGCCAGCCAGTGCACATGCAGACAGTTGCACAGCATCGCAGCAGCCTGTCCGCATTGCCTGCCTAGGCCAGAATGCCCAGCTCTGGCCAGCCTCCTCCCTATATGGGAGAGGTTGCTGATGCTGGACTGTGTTAGCTTGGCCGTGGAAGTTTCCAGTAGATCCGGTTGGGCCCCAGTGTCTGCACCCAGGCCAACTTTGACAGTTACGGGCCTGGACCCTTTCTAGTTGGGCACGCCCGGAACTTTCCAAGCTTCGAATGTTTGCTGCATTTGCACTGGCCCACGGGGTAGATACGACGACAATTCTGCTTTCTCGTTGACCCATGGCCACTTCATGAAGTGTCGGCCTCTCAATGTGTGTGCCCAGCGCACAACTACCCGGGCCCTGGGCTCAACTGCCTGGCGCAGTTGCTTCTTCTGGAAGAGCCCATGGCAAGGCCCAGGTTGCTCTTCAACCAACTGTCGCGCAGCAACTGTCTGAGACCCGTGTTAAAAAATCCTGAGATAACGGCCTCTCGTCGATATTCAGGCCCGCCTTCACTTGGGGCGGGCACGAAGCTTGCTGGGGGCCACAGTCAGAACATATGCATGTTGTCTAAGGGCCTCTGAGGACACATTCCTCACATTCCATCCCCCTTAACTTTGAAAGTCCGCTGAGATACTTCTATGCAGGTGCCTTCCCCTTCAACCTTCTTTCATAATCTGCCACAATCTGAGGTGCTGTTTCAATAAGTGTTCCTCTCCGGTGAACCATCGGTCCTCTTTTGGATCCGTGTAATGCCTGAATCTGACCCTGTATTCCCTCTTGGGTTTTGGTGTTCCTCTGCCCACAGGCTTAGGAACAGGCATGTCTCTGTGCTCCAAAATGTCGTCGACGTCCACGTGGCCATCCATGGTTGGGGGCAGCATAGATCTCCTTGATGGGAACTGCTGTGTCTCAGCGAAAGGTGCAAGCTTTGAGGCGTGAAACACAGGGTAACTGCGTAGGTGACCAGGGATTCGAATCACATACGAGGGACCATCTTCTTCACTATCCACAACATCCAAGACTTCCCAAGGACCGAAGTACTGAGGCACTAGTTTCCTAGAGATGCCAAATTCTTGCCCTAACTCACTAGATTTAACCCAGACAAGTTCCCCTACCTGAAATGTGGACTGTCGGCGATGCTTGTTCTCAGAAGCAAACATTGCTTCCTGAGATTTCTTGATGTGTTTGACAGCTTGCTGCAGCAACTTCTCGTACTGGGCACCAAATTCAATGGTTCGAGGAGTTGCAGCAGGTCGGTTTTCAGGCAGGAGGAAGTCTAGAGCAGATCTAGGCTTCCACCCCAAGTGCAGCTGATTCGGATTGACTCCGGTTGTGCTGTGCACAGCGTTGTTGTACAGGCTGGCGATGAGAGGTAACTTCTCATCCCAGTCATCTTGGCTGGGCTTTATGTAATGCCTCAGCAGATGCTGCACCACTCGGTTCATCTGTCCAGCCTGCCCGTTGGCTTTGGGATGATTCCCAAAAGTCATCTGGAGTTGGCTGCCCATCTGTTCTGCAGCCTTCTTCCACATTTCACTTGTGAAACGGACATCTCTGTCATTAACGATAGTCTTCGGCAGCCCAAAGTCACGCACCCAGTTATCCATGAATAACTTGATGACGTGCTCAGTCCTTGCGGTCTCTGGCATGGCAATCAGTCTGGCGAACTTAGTAAACCTATCCACTATGACGAAGATATGCCTCTTGCCACTCTTGCGGGTCAAGAGGGTATCCATGAAGTCCATGGAAACACTCTGTCCCGGACCAGCAGGAATGGCTAGGGGCTTGAGTAACCCAAGCGGAGCTCGAACTCGCGGCTTGTCCCGCTGACAGACTTGAGAAGTCTGAACGTACTGTTTGGGTTCGTCTAGCATACCAGGCCACCAAAATCGCTGTACCAGATTTGCACTAGTCTTCTTATAGCCGAAGTGTCACATTGCATCATGACATTCTGCTAAAAATAAACTACGCAAAAACTCACTAGCTGGAACAACCAAGCTCTTATAAACCCTGCCTTCTCAAGGAATAGTAACCCATCCACCATCACAAACTCGTCAGATGTGGCCTTGTCTTGAGCCTCAAGTTTGCGGATGATGTTCATCGTGACACGATCTTCTTTGTAGGCTTCCACCATCGATCGAGTTACATCTTTACATCTTCAGATAAGCCAAACTCAGTAATTAGCGCACCCAGGTAGTTTGCCCTACTTGACAGCGCATCAGCAACCTTGTTATACTCTCCCTTCACATAGTGTAGCTTGAAGTCATACTGATCTACGACCTCAATCCAGCGTTTGAGTGCATCAGAGAGAACAGGTTATGTCTTGATCCACTTGAGTGTCTGATGGTCAGTTCCCAGATAGAAGAACCTTCCCAACAGATAGTGTCTCCAGTGGACAAGTGCCGAGCGTAGAGATCCCTTTCATAGGTGGACTAGGCTAACTTTTTAGAAGGCATCTTTTTACTCATGTACTCAACCGGCCTCAACTTCTTCCCTTCCTGCCGAGCCAGCACTGCACCAATGTCATATTGGCTTGCATCAGTGGCCACAACAAATGGCCTCTCAGGATCGGGAACCATGAGAACTTCATGGTGCATGAGAGCATGCTTCAATCGCTTGAAAGCAGCTTCACACTCGTCAGTCCATTCCCATGGTGTGTCAAGGCGAGTTAGATGAGTCAAAGGGCTGGCCGCCGTACTATAGTTCTTTACAAAGTTGCGGGAGTAGCCACACATCCCTAAGAAAGATCTGACCTCGGTCACAGACTGAGGTTGTGGCCAGGCACAAATGCTAGCCACCTTGGCATCTCCAAGCCTTATCCCATCCGCAAATATCTCATGACCCAAGAACAAGATTTTAGTGCGACCAAACTCGCACGTCTCTGAGTTAATCTTGTACTTGTGTTGTCGCAAGAGTGAAAGTGGTCTCTACATGCTGCGCATGCTCCTCGACAGTTCTACTAGAAATAAGTATGTCGTCTAGGTGAAAGATCCCCCCAAAACACCTTTGGGAGCGATCTACTGAGAGACCTTCACATTCTTGCACTTAAATTGCTGGTGACCATACTCACTGCAATTAATGCAAGCCCCTCACGAATATCTGTCCCTCCACACATCTTGATACAGACCATCCCTCACCCAAGCCAGAGTCTTGGTTGAGTTCTGAGTCTGCCCCTGACTCTTTTGTTGACAGCCCTTCCCGCGGCCAACTGCCTTTCCTTTTGTAATGGCAGCGAGGTTGCTACCCTCTGCACTATCCTCGCTGCCCATCTCTGTGTCCACCACAAGTTCACAAAGGTCGTCGATCTCGGTTTGATTCCCTTTGGAATCAACCATCATCAGACGACTTGATTCTTCTTCCACTCTTGTGGAGGCTTCATCTTCCTTTCATCCACAACTTTTTGTTGATCCCCTCCCAACTTAGCCTCCAAGTCTAAGGCCTTGTTGTTGAAGATCTCATGGGTGTAATATTCAATGCTTGCCTCACTAACCAACAGATTCCTGATATCTGTGGGAAGACATCTCAAGAACATGGTTAGGACGACTTGGGGTGAACTCCCGACACTACTACCAGTTTCTCTACGGCACTAGTGAGTTCCTGCACGGTCTTGTACTTCCTAGTGTCAAGACGGGTCAACACGTCAATGGCTTGCTGAGCCTGCTGAGGTTTGTGCCATCGTGCCTCAACTAAGTCCATAAGGCTTTCTAAGGTCTGGGTTTGTGCCCAGTCATTCATTCACCTGGCAGCTGCAGAGCGTGCAAAGCGTACTTCAGCAGCGACCTCCCAAGGTCAGCAAATGTCAAAAACTTTCACCATGTCCTTTGTCTCAATGAGTGGGGCAAATGGAGGACCCTCCACCAGTCAGATGGCTGGTTCGCACTACAGCCAGCCACCACCTCCACCCACTAGAGAGGAGATAGAACTCCAGCAGGTAGAGTTACTCCGACAAAGGACATGGCGGAAGTTCTTGAAGTTTGCTGACCTTGGGAGGCAGCTGCAGAGCGTGCTTCAGCGCTTGCTGCTGCCTCCGCTAAAGCACGCTCTGCAGCTGCTGCTGCCTCCCTAGCGGTTTGCAAATGTCAGGCCCTTGCTTCGGCCCTGAACCTTCTTTCGTCCCCTGGTAGCAGAACCTGAAACACTACTGGGAATCTACTTATTTCCTGCCGTGTTTGTCTCCTATCGTCAGGTTCTCCTTCCGCACTTCCTGTTCCGCTCATCAGCTAGGCAGTTCACTGTCTGCACTAGTACCCTCATTGGGGCCTACCACAGCATGTGTCTGACCAAGTTGAAAAAGAATTAAAAATAAATTAATAATATCCAGTACGTAACCTAGACTACCATTTAAGTCGTGTCAGCAACATTTACACAGACTGATCACATGTCTATTCCTACCTTGATTAGTTTCACTCACAGCTGTGTCGAATAGAAACGGCTATGGTAAAACACTACAGTTCTAAGTCTAAACTGTCTATTAGGTTTTAGCAGTCCGTCACCAACTAATCAAAATAAAAATAAATCATGCGAGCAGATATATGCACAATGGGTATGTTTGTGCTTAACAGTTGAGCATCAATTGGAATCTCCCTCCTCCGTATCCAATGTGCCTGTCCGCATCATCAAGCAGCGGTGTCTAAGGTGTGCATTAACGACCCACCTCTGTGCCTCAGGAATATGCTTATGCCCTTTGTTTATCCTTGTGTGCAACGAGCCGTACGTCTGACTAATCTGGCTGATCAAGAGGCAGTTTAAGGACAGTGCCCAAGGCCCTCAGGAATTATTGAACGTCGCAGACAGGACGGCGATCACAGCCAGTGGACAGTTCAGATCCCCGCCAGAAATATTTATAGACGGTCTGGTAAGCGTCTGCATAGGACTGGTCAGTTCACACACCCATCTACAAAGCAGCATGTCCTGCGTGTACTACTCCCATGGGTTGGCATGGTGACCGTGACCCGTGCTTCGACCAGGGCCCTTCAGAGGCACCGCCCTCTCCTGTCAGATGCGCCACCGCGAAGAATGTCGTCTCTCGATGTACAGCACTCAGGACTCCTCACGAAAAGAGGACACTCAAGGTTGGACTTACTTCCTCACGGTAAGAAGAGATTGAGAGGGTAGATAAGGTAAGGGAACAACGTACCAGGAGATAGCTGCCCCCAACCACAGATTTCTCACCAATTGAGCCAATGTGCATGACCGGTCGTAGCTTCTGTACCACCCACAACACGATGCAGTGCCACCTCAGCAAAAATGCCACATCAGCATGCTCTCATCATCATACATACATCCGCTGTCGCCACAGCTCCCACGCTGTTGCCACGGCCTTCCTGCGACGCACCCCTCTACCCAGGTGACGGGTTGTCAAACCAGCACCAATGTATCCTCACTGCACAGAAGCATCGTCAGCGCACCAAGTAACATTGTCGCCGGTGGCAGACAGGCGATATCGAACCAGCTATGATACCAAATTGCAAGGAATATGAGCGAGAGCGATATACAGAAAACCAAGTTGCAAAATCACGCAGAAGTCCAGATAGTCATGTAACAAGCAGAGAGCTCAAATG